TGGAGAAAGCTCACATTACCTGGAACTGAGATGTGTGGAAATGCACAGAATCACAATATGCAGATCTTACATGTTACATATATATATATATATATATAACATTTTTTTTAGTATTTATATCTTAAGTAACTGCTGTAATTTATTTGAATTGATCTTTGAACATTACATTGATGTTAATTTTATATTTTCTTTTCCAGTGAAGTTTTTCACTGGATGCAATTTTTTAGTTCACTTATTTAACACAGGCCATTCATCGACTCATCATCATTATAGCAATACTACATATGTTTAACAGGTTATTGAGAGTGACACTTCAGACTGCCTGAATTGCTTTATTTATGGGAATGATGTCATGCCATTATGACTGGAACAGTAATGACAAATGGAATGTTGCCCATTCCACTCATAGTTTGGAATCTCATCCTCAGGTTCTCATGGCTTTTCAGCTTTTGGGGTCTAATTTGTCATATGTTGAAGTTGTTCCATTTCAGCTTACATGTAGTCACGATTTTGAAGATGAATAGGAAGGGGAAGGAAAGGGCATGCTGGCTAATATGTAAATCTCACAACGGAAATATGCATCGAGGGTGGTGGAGTGTGGTCCCATCCACTGGGAGGAGGCCATGCTTCAATATATAACTATCACAGTGGGAAGAAGGGTGAGGGTGTGCAGCATGCTGCTATCCAAAGGAAAGGGTCTGTGTGGTAAAGAAGGAAGTCAGTAGGACATGGGGTGAGACTAGACACACGTCAGAAGACAGAATGCTTCATAACGACCACTGTGAGAACTTCAAATCCTACAGACTTTCCTCAGTTTTTACCCATCCTTATGCTTGAAGTTTTGGAGATGCTTTTATATATCAATGGCTTCCCTGGATAACATGGGGATGCTTACTGTGGATATTTGCTAGGGGTTCTGTTTCATCAAATCTGTTATCATGTTCTATCTTCTTATATGAAAGATCGAAGATTTATCATGATGCGACATGATATTAAGATTTGAGGTGTTCACAGCGGTGACTATGAAGAATGCTGTCTTCTGGGATGTGGCGCCATGTAGATATTCTGTAAACTGATGTTTCAGAGGAATGTATCACATCCATGTTCAGGGTATAAAAAACTGCAAGCAAGGAACTAGCATGAACAGGTGGCTGCAGACATGATATTTGTTTAATAAATACTTGTTAGGAACAAAAGCTTAACCCTTGCACTGTCAACCACTGTAATAATCTGGCTACATGCACTGTGTTAGCATGAGTACTCAGACTGCAAAGCATACAATTTATTCTAATATTTGTTGTATAATTTAAATTCATTATATCCTAGCATCATCAGACTAGATAATTAGAGTGCACTTTATATTCTGCACTTTAGTATACTAAACATGGCACAGGACATGCAGTTGTACTGAGATATCTTGCTATATTAGTCAGCTATACTCTTGGATTATGAAGATTGAAAGTGTTATCTTGGTTTTAGTGTCATTAAAATCGTCAGGTCACATTAATTATCATTGGACATATTGTTATATTGTTGTTTCTGCCCTGATAATACCATTTTCTCTCTAAATGTTAATTTCATCACATTCTACAATATACTGAGATCGGCATGTTTATACACATTGTTTATCCTTACCTTTCAGTTTGAACATTAATATATCATAATCACTTCCATGGTATGGACAAGATATACTAGCATAAATCCCATCTCTTCTCTCCTGTATATTTTCTGTGAATGACATGAAATACGTGGTTTCTTCTACCACCTCTGAACATTTTATGTTAACAATTTGTAACTTTCTATGTACAGAATTTTTCTTTATTCAAAGGTGATTCAGATATTGGTTCTAATTATTCTGCAAATTTCTCCAGCAGTGAATCAGATATTGCAGATCTGAATGACAGCAAGAATTAATACACAGTGTTTCAGCATTGTTCAGACTGAAGTATGTGTACATAATCATTTCAAGGAGACAAAGACTAGCTAGAAAGGATGGTTTTTGATGGGAATCCAGAGACCCCAACACATCAGTAATGGTCGTGCTACATATATGAGAGAGTACAGGGAAAAGAAGAGGTTAGAAGAAGATAATTGTAATAATGTACCCAAATGAACAAAATTACATGCCGAAAGATAGCGTGAATATAAAGAAACACATAAAAACTTATCTGCTGAATACATGCGTAATTGTAGAAAAGGCAAAGCTCAGGAAAGTAAAACACCACAAGCACCTACACCACGATGAAATAAAACTACAATATTCAAATTCACTATGAAGTCACAAAGAATTGAATGCACACTGTTTGTAAGCTACAATATAAGTGTCTAGTTGCAACGAGTTGCAATGGTAATAGAAAGGTTTAGCATTCATGTACAAAAGAAGACATGTTCTCTGCAGTACCTCCCGAATACACTCACTTTTCTATCCCATTGGCCAACAGAATCAAGTTAATTGAAGGGTGTAACAAAAACCTGAAATTTAGGAGGGGAAAAATAAATTTTTAGGGCTCTCAGATGTTTTAAAACACCAGAGATTGCGAAAGAATGTCAAGTGTTACAAGCAGCAATGATATTATAATGCAGAACCACTTTGTGAAGAAGTGGGATACCCTTTTGTACAGTATGAATCAAATTATAAAAAACAAAAAAGTAGAGCATATATTTTTTGCTTAATGATTTTCATATCTTATATTACATTATGTGACATTATGTTCTTTGCTGGCAAAAACAAAGTTAATTCCATTAATTTATTATGAAACTTGCATTAGATACAGCATTTTAAAATATAATGTTTAAAATTATTTAAGCCGCCTGACAGGAACGGACATTTAAACGCACACCAGCAGTGGGCATTTAAATAAATTTCAGCCACCTCAAGCTACCACCATTTAAAAAGTCAAGCATTTAAAGGTTAAAAAGGCAACAGTTAAATGATAGTTGGAGCATTTGATACAGACCCCCCTGTACAAACGCTACAACACTGAGATAGGTCCAACATTTTTAAATGTGGATAACGTGCCAGAAGATACTTATGAGCTAGACAAAATCAACCAGCATTCTAGCGACAATGAATGCTTACTTAACCAACAAAACACACTCTTATAGAACGAAGATAAATACTTGGAAATATCTCCAGGCCAAAACAACAAACGAGTATATGACGATCATGCTGAAGAGCTATCGTTTCTGAGCATGTACTTGGGGCAAGCCAGAACCTTTAAGACCAACATGCGTGTGCTTGATCAATGCATGTAATTCATATTAGTACAGTGGTTACATATTAGTGGAAAATATAATTTGTTTGGCTCTGTAAAAGCATGGGTTACGAAATGAAGAAGCCACAATTATTGCAGCACTCTGAGATACCAAATTTGAGATATGAGAGCAGGAAACTCATTTCAGGCACTGTGGAAGAACTTTAAGGAAACAGACCAACATCAGGTGTAAGCGGTTAGTCGCTGGCTTCCCAACACGGCAGCCCAGGTTCGATCCCAGGTCTGGTCAAGTGGGATTTGTGGTGGACAAAGTGGCGCTGGGGCGGGTTTTCTCCGAGTACTTCGGTTTCCCCTGCCAATCTTCGTTCCACCAAATTCTCCATCATAATCACCTGGGGCAGGCCACAATAGGCCAATCAGTGGCCGCCATGCTGAGTGGACCCAGTTGGGCTCCACTCCCCACTAAGCGAATTAAAAACAAAACGTCAGGGGTAAATGAAAAACTATGGAAGAGAAAAATATGTTTCACCTACTCTTATCAAATGAAGAGGCAAACAGTACATAAATGTGTCAAATATTCCAATCCAATTTGCTGGGCGTGTCCAAGAAAAGTATGTGTCACTTATGCTAGTGCAAGCCTGAGATTTCTGTTAGAGGCTGAGTACACCCCAGGGCCACTGTGCGGCTGGAAGGATTAAGTGCATTGAAAAAGAAAACTCATTGGGACTCGAACCCGCGATCTACCAGCTTGCAGCATAGTGCCTCAACCAAGTATGCTACCAGGTAACCTATACTGTATAGCTATAAAATATTTATAGAATAGATCAACAAGTGGTTGCCACTTCATACATCGATATCCCACAAGGTAATATCATACATATAAATACATAACACATATGTATACATATAAAACAACAATTTCATCTCGCTCGACCTTACCCGTCGAGATCGGTCGAGATCGTCGAGATCGAGATAGAGCAGACCGAGCAGACGAATGCTATAGCAAGTAATTATTACTCCTTTCTGTAGATGGCAGTGCTTAAGCACTTTCTAATTTCGTAATAGAAATGAGCCAATTGGGTAAGTTTTCGTGTCCGAAAAAGTCTTATATGGTGTATTGCGGAGTATTGACAGCTGAGGTTTAGTTAGATACGGATAGATATAGAATACCTTGGAGCACGGGTATGTATCATAAGAATTCTCTTTATTAGGTGTTATTTTATATTTTTGGTACATGTACGGGAAAGGTGAAATTCAGCAGCATTAATAATTCAATCTAAGGTATTTGTTTGCGGTCAACGCTTAAAGTATTGAAGTACTCGGTATGGGCCGTTTGTGAATATGAACTTAACGGACTCCAGGGAGCTGAGGCCTTGTTTGGAAGGCGCCAATTGTTCAACTACTCAAGAACTTTCCAACATTTTTTTGGAAACCTAAGGTTCATTATCGTATTCACAAGAGCCCCCCCACTCGTCCCTTTCCCCAACC